CAGATTCCTTTTAGTCTCGAAAACCCTACCTTCGTTTCATACTATACACAATCCCTTAATGGCGAGCCCCTTAGGGCTCCAGTCCTTCAAAGTGATGTTGTTTGGCGTAACGCCAGGACTCGAGGTATTCGAGAGTTGGTCTCTCGAGGTTTGATGGGCCTGAAGCAGTGCTAGGGTTTAGAGTGCTCGAGGATTGGTTCCTCGAGGCTTAGTGGGCCTAGAGCAATGCCAGGACTTAGGTTGCTTGAGGATTGGCTCCTCGAGGCTTAATGGGCCTGGAGCGATGCCAGGGCTTAGGGTGCTCGAAGTTTAATCTTTTGAGGCTTGATGGGCATAGAGCGATGCCAGAGCTCGGAGTGCTCGAAGTTTGATCTTTCGAGACTTGATGGGCCTGGAGCAATGTCAAGGCTTGGATTGTTCGAAGTTTGATCTTTCGAGGCTTGATGGGCCTGGAGCGATGCCAGGGCTTAAGGTGCTCGAAGTTTGATCTTTCGAGACTTGATGGACCTGGGGCGATGCCAGGGCTTAGGGTGCTCGAAGTTTGGTCCTTCGAGACTTTTGATTTTTCAAATTGCCATGGAGGATTTGGCAAGGGTCATATTGACTTATCAACGTGCCATGTCAACTTCTAATAAGTGACACCTACACAGATGTTATACCTGGGTTTCCAAATGGCATTGAGGGAAATGTCATTGAGGGGAACACGATATATATTTGTCAATACATTAAGAATATGGAAGAAACAACAACTAAAACAACTTGCATACATGAGCACTCTACTTCAACAAAAAGATGCTGAAATAGAAAGGCGTGGAGTACAATCATCGGTTGGAACACAGCGATTTCTGCTAACCTTTGATGTACGCATCACCTGTATCATGATGTCCTTGGTTTTATTTCGATCTACTTCAATTCCCTACGGTGGATCAAGAATCCTAGAAAGTTAATTTTCAATAGCTAAGGTTTACTGTTTTTATAAGGAGGCCCCTAGTATTTTCTTTGAGGTGGAAAAACAAAAACAAAAAAGTGGCAAAGGGATTTTTTTTATTTTTATTTTTATTTTTTTTCGCTATTACGATTCCATGTTCTTCCCCCCTTTTTTTTTATAATTTCTTTTTCCACCTCTTTGTCTTTATATATATATATACATATATATGTGTCAAGAAAATCAAGACAATCATGTGACTAAAGTTTGCACGCTGAGGCAAGCAAAATTAACAAATATGGAGTAATATATATATATATATATATATATATATATATATATATATATAGTTCTATATATAGGCATCATTTTTTTTTGAAGCAAAATGCAAAAAACCTCCCTAAATTAAGAATTGCCCCTTGAACTATCAAAAAATTGCAGTTAAAGACAAATTAAAAAACTACTGTCACCGGAAATGTTAGATTACAAAGATACCCTTAGTGAGATGCTGACGTTTCAAATACAATCTCAACTACTACTAAACACGACCTTACCCATACGGTTCTCTCTCTCTCTCTCTCTACGCTCTCCTTCTCCCACAGTCAACACCAACCAATTGCAACCTCCTGCAGCCAACTTCTGTCGACCAGATGGGTCTTCAATGAAATTCTCGGGTTGGGTCTCCAAAGATGCTCGCAAATTAGTCAGCCATGTTTGTATGATGCTCAAGCTTTGTCGCCTATCTGTTTGTGGTTCACCGAAATAAGACTCACTGGTTTGATCACTGTGATTGTGTTTGCGATTGTGTTGTTGATGCTTAGAGCTTCTCGCTAGCGGTCATGGATTTTGAGGTTGGCTTTCACTGCTCGTTAATGCTTAGATTTTCTCGCCGGCGGTCATGGAGTTTGAGGTTGGCCGGTGAGAGCCCAACCGTAAACTCCTAAGTTTCATTTTGTAGGTGAAATTGCTTCAATTTACCGTGAGAAGATGAAGCTATGTTGTCAAAGTCTCAATTATATGCCAAAATGATTCTCTGACAGTTTATATATATGTGTGTGTGTGTGTGTGTGTGTGTGTGTGTGTGTGTGTATATATATTATATTGGCAATATAAACCATTTTGCTGGAAGTCAATTGTTTGTTTGCTTATTAGAAGATAAGGATGGCCCATCATTAATTGTTGGAGAAAAAAAAACTAACAATTCTAGGGTACCAAAAGCAAACGAATAATTGAAAAAACAAGTTTTTTTTTCCCAAATCAACATTATCACCTCCAATTGAAAACCAAAGTTACTTTGTTGCTTTTTCCCAGCCCACACCAACCCATCATCACCTTCAATTATCCAAACAAATCTTTTTTGCCCAAATATTCAAACCTAATAATTGTGCACAACTCAAGGCGGCGTAGGATTCCCGTAGCCGTGGCTGTCGGGAGAGGAAAAAACATCAATGACAAAAGCAAAATCCAGAGATTCAATCCGTCAATGATTTAATTAAGGTTGATTTTGTGATTAGTTTGGTTTGATTTGCCAAATCAGGTCCGAAATCAACACACAGGTTTTAGGTTTTGAACTTGGTCACCGGAGAAGATATATATATATATATAGTATAATATAACATATGTATTTTGTATATAAGGGTAGGATTGCCATTTATAATATACAGCATATAGGGGCGGCCAAAAATTTACCGGAACAGTATCACCTGGGTTTCTTTTGCAAAAATGATGATAGTTTAGGGGGTTTTCTGTTAAAAAAATAGTTCAGGGGGGTTTCTTGGGAGAGAGAGTAAAGTTTAGGGGTTTTTTTTGCACTTTACCCTTTTTTTTTTTTTTTTTTTTGTAGTTCTTCTTATGTTCTAAGTCTGTGCTCAAGCATAACTCCTAGTGTTGCACTTGGTAAGAAGTCTGATACTCTCTACACAACTACCAGTGTTTGTGGGTCTATAGCAGTTGCAGAAAATAGAGAAGATCACAACCTTTGGCACCAGAGATTAGGTCACATGAGTGAAAGGGGCTTAAGCTTATGCACTCAAAGAGGAAACTACTAGGCATACGGACTTTAATATATTAGTCTAAGTTAATTTATATAATTAGATACTTGGCTATTGTTTATGGACGGTAATATAATTATTATTGGCTATTGTGGCTGTTGACAAATGATGTAATATATGGTGGCTGCTTTGTACTCACTAGCTAAATTGGGATTCATAGGCCATCTTCTCTGTAATGAACTTCATCTCTAAGGGGAATTTGTAATCGTCGACGTCAAAGAGTACCTCCTTAATACCATTTGGACCTAAATTACTCACAAGATACCTCCGTATACCCCTCACACCAAGTCATTGGATTGAATTGGTTACAACCAGTGGTGATTTGTGTCATTACCCTCCACCTGACTACACAAGTGACCACAGAGGCAAACGGGATTAAAATATATTTCAAGAGTTGAGAGTAAAAATAATGATAGTGATTAGTATTTTTATAATTTCGAAATTTTCTTCAACAACAATTAAAAGGAAGAAATTGTTATTCTAATCTCAATTGAATATGTTTTTAATTTTCGAAAATTCGGAGAAGTTTTCGGACCGACTTCCAACACCACCATAACCTCCACCATCAATTCATGAGCTCTAATAACATCATCAAAAAACTTATTTCCCCAGATGGGTTCAAATAATTTTAATGGAATACACCATTATATGCTTGTGGCACAACCAAGATCTTATCCAGGAATAACAGCTAGAAAAACTACATGTGTTTGCGTCTAAAAACTGCAAATACAAAACAACGGACTGCAATTTTACAAATTAATGTTATTTGTTTTCTTAAAAAAACTACATAGATTTCCATATTTAAAACTCACATTTTTTACATTGATAAAGGATTAGTGTATTTATATTTCCAAATTTAAAACTCACATTTTTTAGTGTATTTTTCTAAGAGCGTGGCTACATAATCACTTTGACCCTCCAAACCCCCCGCCCCAAAAAAAAAAAAAAAAAAAAAAAAGAAAAAAAGACCAACCAACCTTGAAAACTACTCCCTCAGTCCCATATTAGTAATCCATTTTTCTTTTTTTATATGTCCCAAATTAATTGTCCTCTTTCTTTAAAGAGTCAAAGCAAATAAATTCTATATTTTCATCATTATCCTTTATTTTTTTAAAAAATTTCAAACTTTGTAATTATATATATTTAAATTAGAAGGGACAAATTGGTAATTTTAAAAGGAGACATGCATAACAATTTATTGTTCTTTTTTTTTTAAACTTTGAGAATTTGTAGAATAAGGATTTGAATTTTTTGAGATTTCAATTTACTCTTTTCTACTAAAATTTATTGTTTTTTGCACTTGACCCTATAAGAAATTTATTGTTTAAAGTAGTAAAAATTGCAGCATCACCTTTTTCGTAACAATTTATTGTTTTTTGCACTTGACCCTATAAGAAATTTAACAAAAAAACTTGTAAAGAAAAAGATTATTACTAACCACAAGGGTAATCCCGAATTTTTTTTTTCCCCAATCCGTAAACATATTATATTATCCAGAACAACCGTTCGATTTAAAAAAATAATAATAATAAAAAAAATAAAAAATAAAAAATGTTAAGACATACCTTGATTCTTGGCTGGATTATGACTTATAAATTTAAACCATACTTGAAATACATACCACTAATCTCACAAGATTTTAAATTCCAATTTGATTGAGGTTGACTGTCGATAGACTCCATACCATATTCAGACAATAGAAAGATAAAAGTGGAGAATTTAAATATTGTTAGGGCACAATCATAACAAATGTCTAATGCATCCAACAACCAAAATCCATATTTTGTAGACATAATTTTTTAAGTCTCACAGAATTTGACAAACATTGCATATAAGAGGGATTGGACATAAACATTGAAAAATTTAAAACCAAAGCCAGAAAAATTACATCTATAAAAACAATGAAAATTTCATAACTTGCATCATCAAATCAACCCACCAAGTTATTTGGAGAATTTAATAACCATAAAATGGCCAAAAGTTAAAACTTGGTTATGATCAAGGAACACATCAAAGTAATTAGATTTATTAACCGAAAAAAAATCAAGTAATTGATGTATTATTTATTAAATAAGTATGAATGCAACATTTGTTTATAATGGTCAATATAGCATTGAAAAAAATCACCATATATGGGATTACGTACCTTATAACATTGTTGAGAATTGAGATTATAGTTTCATACTGACAGACAACAAAGACAGACTAAAACTTGATCTAATCAGGTTGGATTTGAACTACTCTCAAAGTAACAACTACTACTTTCAAAGAATCCAACAGGAACTAAAAAGATCAAATCACACCCTGCTACACGAGCGGGGAGGAAGACCACATATAACGTCTGCGTTGCATGTTTCCAATTTGTGTGTAGATGGTAGAATATTGAAGAGAGAAATGATGGATTGTAGAACATTGAAGAGTCTGTGCAATTCGATAGATTGGGGAAGATTCTGCAAAAGTAAAGTGCCTTGTAAAGTTTGCCACTAGGTGAAAGAGTTCCAGAGGCTACATCTCAAACATTGATCCAGGGAACCCAACATTGTGTAATATAGAAGCTTTGAGTGGAAAACTATGATACTAAGAGATTTTAATCCACAATATATATATTTATATAAAGGTAAAAGAAAAGAAAAAGAGAGACAGATTCCAACTGTACCGTGCTGCTGAATAACTGCTCTCTATACAGATCTAGATTGAAAGACAAATTAGATTTTCCAATACCAAGACACACACAAAAGAAAAACAAAAAACTGTCTGAAGTACACAGGCAAGACATAATCATTAGAGTTCAAGGAACTAGCAAATAAAGTGTGAGTATATAAAATAAAAACTTACCATTTGTGCATGTCGAACTTGAGCTATTTGTATATGCAAGAAAAAACCACAGGGTGGTACACACTCTGGAACAAGAAATCTGGAGTGTTACACAATTTAGCACTAACAATGCTGAATGTTAAGACTTTGATTTAACTTAAAGGACTGAATTTGAACCAACACACAGGTAACAAAAAAAAAATTAAAACACTGCGATTGAATCATTTATCTGAAGACCTTAAACTTTTAGAATGACATGAATTTAGTTTTACGACTCCATTTCACTTCAACTTCAATTAATTGATAGAATGGGCTAATCTAGGAAACAAATTATACACTTCCCTTGCTCCTTTTGAGCGAAAACCAGATTTCTCTCACCAAAACCAAATCAAGGGTTGCAAGCATTACGTTCAATGTTATGCTTTAGTCATAACAACATGCTAATGACTCTTTTCAAATCAGAATGTGACGATACGGCAACTACATATCTACAGTATCATCTTTTACCTTTTGATATCACAAGCTACGAAAAAGGTGATGCTGCAATTTTTACTACTTTAAACAGATGTCTGAATAAAATAGTTAAATGTAAAAAATTAAAAAAATAATAATAATAATGAAGCATAAATCAAGTTTTGCAGTGTCAGAACCACCTTTATTCCCACAACTACCAGATTATCAGATATACTTTCTAAGTAAATGTTCCAATCAGACATGTTTTACAAATAACCCATTCTATACCCAGATGTATTGTATCTAAAGCAGGTACCTCCTCATGTATTTAGAATGGTCTATGTAACATAGGTATCAAGCATAGCCTAAAATGGCATCATAACTTGATAGTTTAGTTACAGATTTACATTACAATAACCAAATAATCTAATTAACTTCAGCAATACTAAACACAAGTGTGTGGTGACCCAAGCTACTGTAGTAGAATATGATATGTGAGCCTTTATTAGGTCTCGATGATACGCTTCTAATAGAATGCAACCATCAACTAAAGTTAGAAGCATGAACACCTTTAGTTGTTTAGGTCAATAGAACCATATTGGGATGTAATGCTATTAGTGGATACATTTGAAGAACAAGTAATACTTGTTTCCATTCTCTGTAATAGCTCAGAGTGATGCTTAATTATATATAAAACATAACAGGCAATTTAACTAAGGGGAAACATTCAAATGTACCCTAGTTAACTCCTCTGTTACATAATGTTACCACACTATTGCATCAAAGCCTGAATCACCATAAAATAAAATTTTCCTTCAGGCCTAATGTGACACCTAATATGTTTCAATTGATCATGACCTAACCAACTACAACTCTGATAACAATATACATCCACAATGTGACCTGATCAGGACACCACTACAATCCTGTCCCGCCTCAGGAGAAGGTGACTGCAGATGAAAGATCAGAATGGCCTGAAGAAGATAGAGTTCTGGAACAGCTGAAAAAGACTCAGGCAAACATCTCTCTGGGGCTTAATCATGTCATCATATCCTCACCACACTGCACTACTCAAAATGCTCAGTCGAAAAAGCATGAAAAAGGAAGGATGAAAAAAAACAAACAAGGGGGCTTACGCATGCAAAAAACTAGCTATAACTAAATCAGACCCTCAAAAGCATGCCATACCCACCATTCTTCAGCCCGAAACGGAAAACAGTAATCTATTCCAGGAAGGGTTTTTATCAGGTCACAATGAAACGCAGAACTCATAGAATGCAGCCATCAACTAAAGTTAGAAGCATCCACACAATTAATTGTCTAGGTCAATTGAACCATATTAGGATGTAATGCTATTAGTTAATAATACATATGAACCACCTGTGATACTTGTCAACATTCTCTTTAATAGCTCCATATGAAACATAACATGCAATTTAACTATGGGGAGACATTCAAATGTACCCGAGTAAATTCCTTCGTTACATAACATTCCTTACACTTTGCATCCACACAACTGCATAAAAGCTTGAGTCACCATAAAAATCTTCGTTGAGCCCCAATATGGTTCAATTGATTATAACCTAACAACCTACATCTCTATTAACATTATACAACGAAAAGCATAAAAAAGAAAGGATAAAAAAGATAACAAAAAAAAGTGGTTAAGTATGCAAAAAAAAGCTTAGCTAACCTGAACCTGACCCTCAACACCATGCCTTAACCAGCCATTCTTCAGCCCGAAAATGGAAAAGGGTGACCTATTCCACTCAGCTCTTCGAACCCGCTCTCTCATTTTCCACTTTCTGTGCAAAAACCTTGGTGGCGATCATATTATCATCAAAATATCTTGCATATGGATGCCCCTTAGGAACAAGCCTCCTATATTTCTGAAATTGCTCCTCTGCCTCATCTTTCTTCCTCAAGAGTGTATATATTATCCCCTGACATAGATATGGCCGAAAATCTCTCGGCTCTTCCTTCACAAGCTCTTGATAAACCTTCAATGCCTCATTGTAACTGCCCTCAATCACCCGAATTTGAGCAATCAAAAGCTTAAAGTCCCTCAAGTCCTCCTTTTTCTTTTCCCTCTTACACACCTCCATTCCCTCCGCAATCCGCTTCTCAATCTCTTTCAATTCGTCGGTCAAATCGGCCTGTGACGCCACCATTACCAGTCCATGATAGGCCTCCACGCGAAGGGGGTCTTTTGATAGTATATCGTTGAATCCTAATTTCGCCAATTCAAGGTCTCCGCTGTAACAGTACATGTGGGCCTTCAACAATGGCCACTCGTTGTCGTTGGGTTCGAGTTCGATCAATCGCTCGATGATGCTAATCGCTTCTTGGACCTTCCGGTTCTTGATCTTGATCTCCATTAGGTTTCGAAGGGCTTCAACGTCGTTCGGCCGAGAGGTTAGGTGTTCTTCGAGCGTTTTCTCTCTGGCTTGGTCCGAAACCGTGTCGTTGGTGGCGGTTTGGACGGCGGGTGGGGGTGAAATGGGGGCGGCGATGACGGGTTTAACATTGAACCGGGCAAAGAAAAGGGCAGTGGTGGCCACGGCGGCGACAAAGGTAGTTTTGAGGAGAGAGAGAGGGGAAGGGCTTAGGGTTTCAAGAATTTGGGGTTTAGGGTTTGGAGGAAGAGGGGAAGAGAATGATGATGATGCTTTGATTGATGACGACCATGTTGATGGTGGTGGAGTTCTGAAGGAGAGAGAAGAAATGGGTCTCGAGAATGATGGACGGTGGTGATGGAGTGAAAGAAGTGGTTGGTGACGGTGGTGTACTTTAGCAAGAGCCTCCATAGTCGGTGTTTATGGCGCAGAGAGAGAAAAAGCTCTAAAACCCTGATTGATTGATAGTGGATGGGAAATGGTGAAAGGGAGAGAGCTTTAAACCCTGAAAATTGAAGGTGTAAAATGTTGGACTTTGGAGGCCCAAAAGGATCAGCCGAAGGTTTAGGGCCCACTCTCTCACCTAGGCTTACTAATTTTAATCCCACAGAGCATGGAATCTTCTGTTCTGAATTTCTTAGCAGTCAAAAATCTCCACTCACTCTCCTTTGCAATTTCAACCAAATAACTGAAAATTCGGATCACTTCCGTTCTTTTTTAAAACTCAATTCAGTACTTAAATTTAAAGGAATTAATGTATTAAATGTGTGATAATGTAATTGGAATATTACTGAAACTGGTATGCACAGCTTAAAATATTACTTCTCATTGAATGCTAGACTCCGAAAATTCAAAAAGATTTCAAAAAATATATTTTTTAATTACCATTTAAAGACATCAATACTTGAAAAGTTCTTAAAATTTTCGGTACTTAATTTTCATTTTTATCAAACAACACTTTCGTAAAAAAAAAAAAAAAATCGTTGGATAAGTTATGTAAAATTATTCCACAAGTGATGTGAAGCTGTTGCATAAATAATGTAAAAGCATAGGATGCGACAAACGCGAGATCAGAATTCTAAAAATTAATCAATGTAAAATAAAAGAAGTTTCCAAAAATTAATCCTACACATTTGCATATCATATCATTATATTTTTTATTTTTAGCTAATTGTATATTTGCCATGGCATTTTAAAAATCACATTACTTATCCATAAATCTCATATTCTACTTCTCACATACAAAAAAAAAAAAGAAAAAAAAAAGAAGAAAAAAAGCCCAATTCTTAGCCCAGTCCGCTAAGTTTGACTGGTAAGTCGAGTTTAAGGCTTTCAGCCAGAATCATTTCTTCTTTGAAAGATTAGCCCAAGCCCAAAACAGTCTCTGCACTTCACTTAATGTGTGTCCGGACAGGCACGTGCGTAAGCACGTGTAGAAGATGAGTATTCAGGCATCAAATTTAATTGAGTAATGCTAAAATGTTCCATTTGTTTTTTAAGTTTGTCAATTGCAAAAAAAAACAGACACTTCAATAAATTTTCAATTTACTTTGTCTTGTGTGTGGGTTTGTGCAGAAACTTGCCTCGCATTTTTATAGGTTTGTTTGAGATACCGGATACCTCATATATATATATATATATATATATATATATGATAATGGGGTATTTGGGCTTTGTCTTGACCTAAGTTGGAGCAGGAGAGAGGATATATTTGAAAGCGGGAGTGTAAGAGTGGCAGAATTAAGTCATAAGTGAGAATTTGTGTCAGAGTGCGCGCGAAGCGTGAGAGTAACACCCGTTAAAAAGGATTGTGTAACTTAAGTCCTAACTAATCCACATAACTCGTATAAAACCATCACTTTACTCAAATCGAGTAAAGTTCGGATTATGTCTATAGTCGTTGTCATTAAATAATTGCTTACACTCGAGATGATTCGAATTTGAGATTTAATATTTCATGAGACACTAAGTCCCAAAGTTTCACTACTAAAATAAATAAATTAATTCTAGTTCAATATTAAGAGAAGAACAACATTAATTAGATTTCTACCTTTTGTCAATTATTTTAACTCCAAATTCAAGAGTAAAATGATCCTCAGTTTAATTTTCTAATTAGTTTCCAATATACATGAACCCAAACTCCAACCCATTTTTATTTCAAAAAAAGAAAAAGAAAACAATGTGTCAAAAAAACAAATAATTCATAGAGTGATGCTATTGAGGGGGTAGAAATTCAAAAGGTCCCAACAGCCCACTCTTGTGATAGTTCCGATTAAAGAGGAATTGCGAGGTGGAAGTTGTATCATTACTTCTCATTTTCTTTTTTATTTAACTACTCAATTATGACAACAATTTTTAAGATTTGTACAAATTCAAATAGTTACTCCCCCAGTCCAAAATTAAACAACCATTTTTTGGAATCTAAATTTGTAAGGAAACGAATTTTAGTATTTTTTTTTTATTTACCAAAATATTTATGGTGAGTCCATATAAATGTGATAGTTTACTTTTTATAAGTTTAATGCAAGAAGGTTAAATTGATAATATGATTAAAAAAAATTATACTTTGAAAGTTGGGACAGTCAAAAATAAAAAGTGAACATATATATTTATATATATATATATTTTTAGAGAGGAAGAGTGTTTAGTCATACATCCAATAATCAATGAAAAAAACTGAGATTAACCCGAACGGTCACCTAAGACCTCCAATTTGAAAGGGCCTCACCAGATTTGAAAATATTTGTATAATATATTTTTGACATATTTAACAAATTATAATTTAAATTTGAAGACTAATCATACATCCAATAATCAATGAAATAATTGAATTTGACCCAGACAGTTGTCCAAGGCTTCTAATTTGAAACTGCCTCGGTAGATTTGAAAATATTTATATGGTATATTTTTGACATATTTAACAAATTATAATTTAAATTTGAAGCCCTAAATTTGTATTATATATTTTTGACGATAGCATTTAAAAATTTGCTTAGGAGCTCTAGAATTTCAGTACTTGCCTCAACTCATGCTAGTGGTGTAGTTTGGACCCAGAAAGAGAACAGCACACCAGCATGATTTGGTTTAAGAAAGGCACGTGTGGTGGGTGTACACATAGATGAAAGAGCCACGAGATCATAGTCTTTTCGACAACACTTACAAATACGACGACGTGTCGCTCTCTGCCCTTTCACTTTTATTTGATGGTGTCACTAACATATGCTCCTTATATTCTAATTTAGATTTTTGTTTTTGGGGGAGTAAGAATTTTTATGGAGATATGTAGAACATGTCTTGTCTCTTTAAAAAATTATTAATTTATTTTTATATTTAAATTTAAAAATTTAAATTTTAAAACGTAAAATATATTGTTTGAAAAAAAAAGAGAATGGACAACAAATCAAAAGGTTAGGACGAATCAAAAGGTAAAGTAAGACTTTTTTTTTTTTTTTTTGGTCAGAGAGAGAGTAGTAGCGTAGGAGTAGTAGGTAGGTACTAATAAATGAACTACTGAATACATTATACATTACATGACCCGAACCTCAATCCAACCAAATTAAACACAAAACATAAATTACTCTTCCTTCTTATTATTGTCTTGATCATCACTAGTAGTAGTTGTACTACTTTTGGAATTAGATAAAGATTCCAATAGCAGATTGTGGATTCTGTGTGTCGCTGCCTCCATTTCAGATGCTCTTTCATCTCTCCTCTTTTCGTATCCCTCAAAGAACTCCTTGTTCTCTTTCTTTAGCTCTTTCCACACTACACACACATATATATTTCATATATATATATATCCATCACAAAATCCCCAAATAAACAATGATACATATAAACATATAATATGTACATGAGACCAATAGCTGTAGTTCTACTACACTCCTTGACTTTTTAAGTCCTGGAAATCAAACATACAGTGAATATGTGTCTACTTGAACTTTCAAACAAGTGCAATTGATGATATACCCAATATATCAACCAGTTTGGATGAAGATTTTTTTTAGTTATAAGAGTCTTACTTGCAGAAACACATCCTTGTGTTTGAAAGTATATGATGAGTGTGTACTTATCAAAAAAAAAGAAAAAAAAAGGGGTATATGATGAGTGTGTGTGAGAAGTTGGGTAATTTAAATAAAAGGTGATCACTATATATTCTAACCTGTGGAAGTAATGATGGGATTGATATTTGCATGCTTGGAGAGGGCTTCCATGCACTCTTCTTTGCTCATGTTGAATATGATGCACTCCTCTATCAGGTGATGCACCTGCATATATATATATATATATATATCATCATCATCATCATCATCAATATATTTTGTTCAAATGATACATAAAATAATACACATGAATAATGATCAGCAATCTCACACACACATATATGTGATACCAACCAAATTGAGGAAATTAAAGCAAAATATTGTTACCATATGGATATATGAAGCCGAAGAGTCACCCATGGTGTTATATTTATATATGGTCTATATATAATCTATCAAACCTAGATAATGTTTGGCTAGATAGAATTAGTGGAGAGACACAGAAGAGAGACTCGAAATTTCAAGCACAAGGGAAAGAGATCGAACAAGGAAAAAAAAATAGTGATAAAGTGGAAGAGAGAGAGAGAGAGAGAGAGAATATGAAAAGAGTAAGAAAAGGAGAGAGAATTAACAACTAGGTCAAGAAGGCCATGTGGTTGAGTATATCTTTTGTCTAGGATGATATGAATATAATTATGATAATACTGTGCTATATATATATATATATATGTTTAGTGGCAGTGACTACTGACTAGTGACATATATTAATGATGTATATAATATACTAGTCGTATAAAATAATTAAATAAAAAGGTTGGTGATCAGGTGATGTCAGGTTGGTGGTGGGGTCAGAAATCCCACGTGGGAGGAGGCATATGATTGGTGGGGAGGAGATTAGAGAAGATTTTATCAGCAGCCGTTCTATGTTGAATTGTTGGAACGTGGCCACTGTATCATCCTCCACGTGACGTGTGGGCCCTACTTGCCCCTTTACGGATCCCAAAAAGCAATATGGCCCCACAGTTTAACAACGTAAGCCGGCCCACCTGTACCACAAATCAGATCGGGCCCACTCTTAAAGCCCACTCTACTTAACGCCTTCTAGATCGAACCCTCCCACGACACCATATTTACTCGGTATTATGGATTAATTTTATGAAAGAAAATGGTTAGGCCCAATGCAGGAAAATGGAAAATTTTTCTTTATTTTTAAGGTTTTAATAAGAGAAAAAAAAAAAAAATTTTGGAGGTGGGGAGGGGGAACCTCCATCGATGTGACTGCTTAGTTTTTCCCAATATTTGTTTGTCAAAATTTCAGGAAAGTTATAATTTATTGTAAACTTATATATTCTTCAAACAATAACAATGCAACATCCTATATATATATATATATATATATATATATATTATACAAGGTAGGATAATCTAAGTACATTTGATGTGCATAGAGGAACCTGTGTATTTTCATTATTTGAGAAAAATAGTAGGACAATAGTAGTTGCTCTCTGCTAAAAAAAAATAATAATAAAAAAATAAAATAAATAAATAGTGGTTGCTCGTCTTGGCACAACGATCCATTATGTCTTAAAGTTAAATGTGTGTTATGGGTTTTTTTAATATATATATATATATTTATAAAGAAGTATTCCCAAAAAGAGGTCTAGAGTTCAAGTCTTAGAAAAGACAAGTGTATTTGAGTAAGAGGTCTAGAGTTCAAGTATCAGAAAAAACAAGTGTAGTTGAGTACCATCTAATATATATATATATATATTATACAAGGTAGGATAATCTAAGTACATTTGATGTGCATAGAGGAACCTCTGTATTTTCATTATTTGAGAAAAATAGTAGGACAATAGTAGTTGCTCTCTGCTAAAAAATAATAATAATAAAAAAAATAAAATAAATAAATAGTGGTTGCTCGTCTTGGCAAAGCGATCCATTATGTCTTAAGGTTAAACGTGTGTTATGGGTTTTTTTAATCTATATATATATATATATATAAAGAAGTATTCCCAAAAAGAGGTCTAGAGTTCAAGTCTCAGAAGAGACAAGTGTATTTGAGTACCATCTAATATATATATATATATATATATATATAAAGAAGTAAGATAATCTAGTACATTATCTACTTTTAAGAAGTAAGATAATTTTTCATGTGGCATGTAGGGCCATTTTGGATTGTTGATCTTACTCAATTTAGTACTATGGTTTGGCTGGGCATGTTGAAATGGATTGGGTCTCAACATATATATACAAACGCATATGCACTACCTTGTACCATGGTTTGGCTCGGCATATGAAAATGGATTGGTCCACATTATATAGACACACATACCCATGTGAACAATATATATATATATATATATATATACGGATAGGTTAGAGGAGCTTGGGCTTTATACAAGGAAAAAATATGGGTTAAACTTTTTTTTTTTTTTTTTTCCCCTTATTACTGTTGATGTCAAACCCCTTAGCTCGAGAGAAACGAACAAAATTTAACTCATATCCACGCTCAAATTAAAATTCGAGCCAAGTTCAAACAACCAAATGTTCAATTTAACTCAACTCCACTTGATCAAACTCAAATTTTAATTTTTAACTAGATCACAGCAATAATAATTTTATCTCGATTATCATTTTACCGTCCATTATACTTTTTGAATATAAATTTTATCTGAGGATAAAAGAAATTTTGGTATACTAAAGAAAAGCATCTCGAGTCATGTTTAGATGATTAGGTCGTTGACTTGAAACTTCTATTGGCAGCTTAAAATATTTTATGAACTATAGTCTTACATATATCATATTACTTGTGGGTGCAACTACAGCTAAAAATGAATGACATTGTTCAATGTTAGCTCGTGCTTGAATTTTTAGATAGAATGACTCTCATTTAAGATTGTTGATGTGCTCAAGCTCAAATGCATCAATTATTTTGTGTCTCAATCCCATGGCAACCAAATAACACTTACAAAATCCCTGCAAAGATTTAAACCCTCGTCGAGAATCGCTTTTCAATAATAACTATTTCCACATTAGTTGTTCTCGTCCAAAAAAACTTTGATTCACTGCCCCCTTTTATCTTTGAATCATTTAAAGTTATTTTTAATTGTATTTCTTTTATATACTTATATATTACCTCTTTATCACATTAAATGTCCATTTTGAAAACTTTTGACTCACAAAAATTGTGAGTCAAAATTTCTGAAATGAACATCTAATATGGAACACAAGAGTAGTTTTTTGAAAACTAGGACAAAATATTTTTATATTAAATCAAGTATTTTCTAACTCAATTTTAGATTTCACATAGTTTTTCGTATTTTTTAATTTTTAATTTTTTTTCTTCTAAAAACATACAATTATCGGATAACACAAACAAATTTAGAGTAATGTTGATCTGAACTTCGTACCGTAACCACATGCGTTTATCGTGTAATGATTCGTACCGTAATCATTTGCTTGAACCCTCACTTCAGGAGATAAAAGAGATGAACCCGGGGACCTCTGCTGTAATGGTGTTGTGGTGCGTGTTAAAAGCCCACGTAATCGTGTTGAAAATCAAACGTAATGCGTTGAAAAACACTAAAAAAGGGAGATTACAGCAGAGGACCGGAGATCCACCGCTAAGATTACCAAAGAATTTACCAATCAATAAAGACAATTCCACAAGTACTGTTGATCATACAGGTGAAAATGGTCTAATAAGACAACAAAGTACAGGAATTCGTAACATGTGTGATTTACGCGTGTACTCTCTCCCCCTCTCTCTCTGGCGTGCAACCATCAAATTCTGGTTACATGTGAGGAAATCGAATGAAAGAATTAACTTCCGTGAACAACTAAGGTTATAGTGGTCCTTTCAATAAAAGAGACTAATAAAACAAACAACATCAACTAGGGTGACAGTAGCCCCTTCAATAAAAGAGACCAACACAACAAAGGACATCAAATAAGGTGATAGTGCCCTTAAATAAAAGACAAAGGTGACAGTGTGGTCCTTAGAAAAGAGACTAACATAACGCACCGACATCAACAACTAAGGTGATAGCGGCCCTTGAATAAAAGAGGCCAACATAACAAAGGACATCAACTAAGGTGATAGTGGCCCTCTGAATAAAAGAGACTAACATAAGAAACGACATCATCACTCACATCATGAATTTTTTTTTGATGTGTCTATCACTCTCTTATGAGAAAAGAAGAGCCGACACCCTTTTTACACGGATGACGTTCGCTTTTAGTCGAAGTTATTACTAGGGACCACTTTCTTTGATGCTAGTAGATATGCTCAAATTCAAATGAATCCATTATTCAACGAACCATTTTATCATCATCATCATTATAATTGGTTTACTGATTTAGTAAGAAATCTGTCTCAACCATACCTGCGATACCTTCCTTTCTTCTCTTGTTCCGTCATCTTGCTCATTTATAGTCACCAGCAGGCGTCATTTCAACCTTTTCACCACCACATTCTGTTATAAATCAATTTTTTCTTTACCATTCCTTCGTTTTAGATAGTTTCTGCTTGCTCTTATTAGTGCATCAATAATTTATTTAATTTCATATTCTGAAAACAGTAAATACGGGGAAAAAAATTGACTATATAAAGCATAATTATATTTAAAAAAATTTCAAACCATATTTTACATGATTGTTACTCAGAAAACAATACTATCAGAGAAAACGAGGGAGGGAGGAGAAAAACAAGAAGAAGAAGAAAGAATCAAACTCAAACAATACGACACTTAAACATCAGTTGCAAGTCTCTCTCTCTCTCTCTCTCTCACACACACACACACACACACACATGCGTACGCGCATGCACTGAGAATAAATTTTTTTGGGAAGTAAATAGAAGGACAAATTCAAGTAATATGAGACTTAAACATCATTAGCAAGTCTCACTCTCTCTCCCTTTTTCACTCACACACATACAGAGAATCAATTTTTTGGAAGTATATAGAATGACATTTGCATCATGGCTTCACTATCTCATATCTATGTACAAGTAGAAGCACATCTCTGCTACGAATTTGATGTCTTAAACATGGGATCCAAAGTAGTTCAAATTTATAAATCAACGGGGAAAATTTCACGAGTAATATTTGATTCAAAGTGTGACCTATGGTTTAGTTATATGGTAACATGATACAACCAAAAAAAATAACGTGGGCCATTTAAAGCGTTGATGCAACACAGTCATTTTTTCCTACATTTAATTCATCAAACTTGTAGATTATACAACCAAAAGGTCACAAAAGCAGTGTGCAACTAGCAAAACAAACAAAACACGCAAATGAGGGTCAGTACATAAATTCTTACTAGGGGTTTAGTATAGAAATTGTTTATTAGTTTCACAACGTCATTACACCAGACTCCAACTAGTTGATGGAAGATGTCAAATGCACAATGTGCATTTGTTTTCCTAATTGATACTCACACGCCCTCCAGCCCTTCTCAAGGAATTGTTTGCACCCAAGAGGATTTGACAGTGAATTGTGCAAGAGTTCAATCTAATACAACTACAGAGGAACGTAAGAATAAATAGTTGAGAACTTCTTTATGCGTAAATAGATCTCTTTATTTTTCTTACATTTCTCAATAATTTTGTGTAGTATTTAGATCCAGCCAAACTCACCATTGGATTAATTGTTCCTTCAATGGCCATTATGCTTGCAAAATTTCAAGTCAGTTGGAGTTTAATGGACATCTAATCAGACATTTTTACTTCAGAGTATAAAATATAACTTCAGAAACTACATGGCTAACTTTGATAAGCAATGATGGTCATAGATCAACTTGAACAAGCATGGGAAGAATGTATAGTGAGATACAACAAAGGGTTAGCTCCACTTCCTCACACACACACACACACACACACACACACACACACACACACACACACACACAAAATTAAAAAAAAATTCAACGAGTACATAAAATACCGAATCTACTGCGGATCTTGGACTGCAATTTCTTCATCTTTCAGCCTCTAGACTAGTAATTTTCACTCTCTAATTAAGGACTATCCCTGTACAGATGAATTACACCTTTAATGCTAATATGGTTCCTCATAGTTGGTACCATTCCACCCTAAAATTTTATCTTGTTTGGAATTTCAATTTAAATGACACACAAGGCTGCTTTTAAAAAATTATCAATTCAGGAAAAAAAAATTAAATAATTATAAATGATAATAAAAAAATTCAGCTATGGCGAACAACAAACCAGAATTTTTTTATGATTCAGTTTGAATAAAATGACAATAAAAGAGAAATAAGGGGAAAATGACGATAGGTGAGAAAAAGGGATAGACTCTAGTATAAAGCAACAGCTGTACATTAAGTACGTCATAAGTCAGCAATCATGCAAGTCAAATATCCCTACCTAAAAAAACTTTTTGCTGAAATAGTCTAGCATGCACTCATAGAACAACACAGACAAGACTTTATTTTACAAGGGATAGACACACCTTCTCATATCTCTTGCGAAGAAAGGATGTCTTAGGGCTTCCCTTGCTTTGAGTCGTTCTGCTGGGTCATAACGAAGAAGCCCTTGTAAGAGATCAATCAGATCGCCACCAGAGTGATCGACGTGCTGTATCACCAGGTTCTGCAATAAAAAAAGGAGGGTAGCACTTATAACGTGAGTTGCAAAGGCAGAGAAAACTAATAAAAAACAATTATGTAATTGGTCTGGGAATGTGATATATTCATAAAGCAACACAAAATCCACATTTTATGATGCAAATGACAAAAGGAACTATCTCTTTCTTTTTTTTCTTTTTCTTTTCCCTGTTCTTTTTCTTTGGGGAAGATGAGTTGTTCTGTGAAGAGTTAGAAACATGATGCTGTAACTGTCCCATATGTGCAGAACTGGACAAAACAACTAACGTGGTTCAATATATAAATTGAAATTTTTAAAGAGCGTGTCTACGATGACAGTGCTCTCATGTCTCAACCGTTAAATTGTGAGACTGAGGAAGAGTTTATCCTCAATCTAATTGAGAGGTCATTTCTATTGCCGGGAACTCACCGTCAGAGGGCATGATGGCCTTTTCCTTTTTTGAAAACAAGAACAATGATGATGACAAAGAATATAAATTCAGAATTAAATTTGAAAAACAGTCATCCAGAATTCCCTCTGAGAAACCTTTTCCAGAAACTCTAAAAAGTTGCTCTACATGCGTTTGTTTTCGTATGTCATAAAAATAAGAAAAGCAAAGGAGAGAAACAACATCAAAAATCTTGTCTATGACATGTTGCCATACATTTTTTTATTTTATCAGGTAAGTACTCGCGCACATTTTTTTTTTTCTTTTTTTCGGGTAACCCTCCCCTCCTCTTTGAGAATGGGGAGGTTATATCATTTGGCTAGAGGATCTTTGGCATGACACAATGCAATTTTCATTTTGAATTTTCAAAATTGCACTTTACCCTAAGAAATATATGTGTTGCTCTAAGATAAAATATAAGCTACCACAAGGGCTTCGCCTAAGTGGTATCTCCTTATGAAAAGAAGGTTGATGATTCAAGTCCCTGAAGAGGAAAAAAGAAAAAAGAAAAGGTGCAGGTATGTCTTAACTACCAAATATATAAATACATAAGCTACGACAATCATTAGTAACTGTGCTACAGTAGCGGAGCCAGAAATTTACTTTAGAGGGGGCAGCCATTAACAATAATATAATAAGAAAATTTTAACTAAAATAATAAACAGCAAAGCACGGGCCTCTATCTATCACGAGGGCAGTCTGTGCCATCAACCTTTGAATCAAGAGAGCACTCTTAGTTCTTGATCCAACAGTTGAGCATGCAAACTCAAGTGAGAGCACCCTAATGATAGCTTTTTTCCATAGATAAATGCCTGAGGCTATGATAGAAGAAAATTTTAGCACTTCAACAATTGTTCCATGCCCCTGTTCTGAAATTCCAGCGTCAGCAATTTGACAATTAGATACAACTTTATTCGGCATGCACAATATAGAAGGAGTGAGTAAATAATAGATTGATTGAGTTTTTTGGTAATTAAAAAATGTGTGTGAAAATAGACATGTTTGACATTGTTCGTCACCACATAAATCATTCAAATAACTGCTAGCAGTTTCCACTTTAAAAAGTTGTGGCCTAAAAGCAAATGAATTATATTGATTTAGTAAGAATTTAAAAGAAGCATCAGGTGACAAACCCCAACAAAACAAATACACAGGCATGTCATACTTCTTTTTTAAAGACATGTCATTCAGCTAGAATTTTGTGCAGCAATTCGAATTAGTTCATGTTATTTTATTACCTCTTATCAAATGTTCCCAGTTAAACAAAAGACACATAATGTATTGGGTATATGAGTATATCCAATGCCATATAAAATCAAAAACAGTTCAGAAGCAGGAAAGTTTAATGGATACCTGAAGACGGGGTAATTTCCAAACTGCCCTCATACTTTCTCTCGAGGTTGCGCCCCCCGGCCAATCCAACCGTGCACCCCTCTTGAAATATTTCTCAGCGCGATGGCTGCGGAAAGCATATGGAATAACTAAGATACTGACACAAGGTAAAGCAGAGAAATTGTATAAAACAACACATGCAATCTATCTTACTCAGCTCTAATAATCATATGTTGGGGCAGCGGCCCTAACACCCTCTCCATCATGGCAAGATGTTCCAAGTTCTCATGGGTTTGGAAGAGGGCCTCACCCTATTTAGAAACAAAATAGTAGACACATGGCAACCATTAGTACAAATTCACCGCAAGGCACGCAAATATTCAGATAAGCAACACGGAAAACCTCTAGTTGAACTCCCCTAGGTAAGTCAAAAGGACTTACAACAGACAACTAGATACCATTTAAGAGTAATGCTAAACAGCAGACTAGATCGTGCAAGGTGACTATGTTTGTTCAATCAAAGTAGTTCTTCAATTAATTCCACGCCTACAAGAGCCAGATGTATTATCTTCTGTACACGTCCCACAATAAGCATTGTAGATAGTGACTAGTTTCACTTCATTATAAATAGAAGCATCAGCTAGTGGACTTCGGTTAAAGGAGAATGATAGGAGGGGTGAACAGGGTATAGGCCAAACCTGCAGCATTATTTGCTGCCCTCAAACTCGTGTCACCATGGTTGGCAGCAGAGGCTTTTACCTATAAAGTAATGACCTCTTTCCAGCTTACAAAAGCATTAACTAGAGGGTGATGATATTAGAGGGATGATCTGATAAGTGATAACTAACAGACTTTAAGTTTTCAAGGGCATCCTTGTGTCATACGCGACCAGCTGTCACATTGTAAATAAGACCTTCCAAATCTAAAAAATCCTTTTTAGCAATGTGATCACCAGATGAAAATGTTAAACAAAACTAGATGACCATTAATATGTACATATAATGAAAAAGGAGGAGATATTTGACGTAATAAAGGCATATATATCGCTTACTTACAGAACAAAGTTCAACAAGTATGCAACCTACACTCCATAAATCACAAGGATAGTTCCATCCGAGACCTGCAGAAAGCAACATATGAAATAATGCTAAGCCATATACATTATTTAAATACACGCACACACACACATATAACTGACCACAGAATCCTACAAGAGACGGTAACTACCCAAAATAACTTCTGGCGCACGATAATGTCGTGTTGACACCACATAGCTGTGGTCTTGATGTTCAAATGTAGTGCTCCCAAAATCAATGAGCTTGATATCACTCGACTTTGGTAAATTCTTGAAATAGGAACCCTCTTTAGTGGATCGTGACAGAAGCTAGATTTGAGCCAAAATAAAATGAAAAATACCAGTCAC